TAAAATCGTTAAAAATTTTAGGTGCGCACTTTTAGGTGGTTATTTTTTTTCTATTGTTATCCATTTATGGTTCCTAAGCACAACTAAAATATACCAGGTGAATCAAAAGTAAAAATTAATTGATGAACGATAAAGTACTTTAAAGATATGATGTTTTATCAAGAATAAAATTTTTCGAAAATTTCTTTTGTTCTTGAGTTCTACAAAAAAAATATTTTTTTAAATAGCAACCCACTATAAAACTATTTTTCTCATAAAGGTTATGATCTAAGAATTACAACTATCTACTTCATATTTAATTTTTTTTATAAATTGCAATTTTGACTAAAAAAAGTCGCATAACTCAAAAACAAGACAAAATTTCGTTCTCAAAATACGATCCCATTTATTATTTTGAAAAATGATTTAAAAAAAACGGCTTGGTGCCATACTTTATATTCAGCCTGTACATTAAGATAGGGGTTTTATAAGAATCACGGGACGAGCGTAGCGAGGGCAAAACCTACCTAACCTCAAAAGTCTCGAAAGTAGCAGTAGGTACGTACATACCTTTTATTTTACTTTGTCCTATAACCTAACTACTATAATCACAATGTTAATTCTGAATATTTTAATTAATTAATTAATTTGGTTAATTAAACCAAACACAGCAAACAGTTCATATTTTACTAATTTGATTTGCGTTAGGCCGATTGACACTGACAGTTCGATGGAGAAACGGTAAGGTCGCCAACATTATAAGACTAAATTTCCCTCTTTTTAGTATAATTTTTATAGCACTGTTTTGTTCAGTACGAACGCAAAGTAGAAACAATGTTTTACAAAAATCTAACAAAAACAATGTTATTAGCGTGGATTATGGATTAAATTCTTGAATTTCATGATTATGAAAAATTCTATGTAAATGCTTCGATTACCAATAGAAACATTGAAATATACAGGATGAGACAAAAAATTATATAACAAAAATATGGCACATGATCAATGTTATCGTTGTTGTTAAACTATTTTAAATTAAATTGTACTGTAAATAGTATACCTATTACAATTCAGACAAAAAATATTTGCCAGAGCCCAAGAGGTAAGGAAGGACATTCCCAGCGAGGTTTAAGGTTTCTTTAAGTAATAAAATATCTGTTTTCCTGTCAAAGTTGATTGACGTTGCTATTCAAGCTATTTGATGAACTCGTAGCCTTGGTAATCTTTCATAAAGTGGTTCCCGACCACGGAATGTAATGACAAGTTTCCCGCCTTGCAAAAGATTAACAATCGGATTACTGCAGTTATTAAAATTGTGATTTTTTTTTATATTTTATAACTTTATTATTAATAAAGATGACATTTTAACATTTCCAACGGTTTTTTTGTTACCCATTCTATGTTGTTTTTTACTAAAATGATTCTGAAATATTTAATTGAATTATAATTTTTACTAAATACACAGAGTAGCAAAAATATATGACTTATTAAGTACTTGAGACATTATTGGTTATTAAAAAAAAATAATGAAAATAGATTAAGGCAAGTTAACCCCAATA